AAAAGTGCTGAAAGCAAATGAGCTCTAAAGTTTTTTAGAGTGTTCGTGTGTGTTTGATTAAAGTAACGGCTAAAACTGTGAATTGTGATTACAGACACCGTTATATGTGGAAAATTTATTAACCTCGCATTGAGTAAATTTTGAGATCGTCTCGGGAACGTTTTATTTCTTCATTGTGAAGAAAACCAATTCCGTTATCATGTAATTTTCAGACGGTTTATACTTCTCTTAACACAATGTTCGTAAGGTTCCTTTCGGACGACATGACTCAGCCAGCGTAGCCACTGTCTTTTAATTCGCTGAACTATGTATGTCAATGTCGTCGTATATCTCAAACAGCTCATCTTTCCATCGTATGCCATATTGGGAGTGGCCAACGCACAAAGGACCATAAAACTTCTGCAGAACCTTTCTCTCCAAAACTCGTAACGTAAATGCTGCCATCGTCCATGCCTCTGCACCATATAGCAGGATGGGAATAATGAGTGACTTCATAGAGTTTGGTTTTTGTCCGAACTAGCACCCGTTGGCAAGATATCAACTATCAACTAAACTATTGCAGAATATTCTTCCCACTTTGGAAAAGATCGTTTTCATTCACATATGTACATATGTATGTATACATACGTATTTACATAGCGATTAGCGATTGATTCCGATATAAAGTGTATTTTACCCTTAGCCGATTCTGGTTCGCATAATTTGATTTCATTTGCTAAACTGACCATAAACAATTGTTGTTCATTATGAATAATTTGTAAGTTGTAAACAAGTAACTGATTCATTTCATTTCTCATGAAAGTTTTCATTTTCCGGTTACGGGAAAGCGCCCACATCACCTTGACTGCTTTGACGGCTTTACTTGTTTCCTGTCCACGCTGTTTTGTTTACAGTTGACAAGGGTCATCTACATACATATATTTAAAGCCATGTACGTACATATACCGTTGAGGTGTGTACGTATGTATGCATTTACAAATATATTTTCGCCCAGTCAAGCATGAATAGTTGTCAGGCAGCGAGACATGTAAGCATTGTTTTCATGCGGATATTGTAGTCGCTGGTCAATTTAATAAAGGCACATAAGAAAGGCGTGTAAATCAAAACATTTATCGTAGAGAAGTAAGAATTCGGTCGGGGCGGTCGCAGCGTGTCTCGTGGTCATTAACCGCATTCTGAGAAATCTAGTATGATAAGCTTGAGGGGTGCTTTTTAGTTCCTATTTTTTCCCGACAACGACTATGTCTTTCAAAACAGTTAAGAATCAATTGATCGCGGTGTTGCACACTGAAGCGCTTCTAATATGACGTAAATAATTATTGTTTGGTATAATGTACTCGTAGTGTAGCAGGCATGTCCGGTTACAGAGGACAGTTAGAAAAGTCATTAATTTTACAGTTGCTTTCCGCAAAGCGCACTGCCCACCTTTTTAACTACCCTTTTCTGTAACTTGCATTAATCTGTTTGGTAGGAGAATCTGTCAATTTTAGGCAGAAGTTAAGACCAAACCGAAACAGTGAATTAAAGCTGCAGCCAATTGTCCTGGAATTATTCTTCTGACTTCTTTACTCTTGACTAGACGGCTGTTAGTTGAGCGTCTTTTATGCCGCTAATTAAGCAGATATACATACATATATACATGAGGATAAGCATGAAAGCAGCACCACGTTTGCTGGCGACTGGTTGTTGGAAACAACTTTTTACTTAAGCGCTGTGATTGATCCCGTTTGAGAATTGTACGTGTTTAAGTTTGTTGTGCCTTCGAAGCGCATATAAAAATACAAAAAGTGTACCTTTTTATTTAAATTTAATTGCAGCAACAATATTACCTAACTCATTAGGTGTCGCATGAACGGGCGAGTTTTTATACGAGGTACTGCTCCTGCGAGACGTAAGGACGTTGCGCGTCCCATATGGGAATCTTATAATCTTCTAGTCATACGAAAACTTTGCTGTAGGGCTGTGGCATCTGCCACTGTTGGGCTGTTTTCTTCTTTTTTATGTTTACATACATATGTACATAATTTACATTTAACCCTCTTTTGAGACATATTTTGATACGATAAAGGAGACACGGGCATCAGGACATTTGCGAATGTCCGTCCGCTGGGCTACACTGAGTAAGATTGACATCTTTCGTAACACGGAAATTGATTAAATTAAAAAAGGCACAAAACACATCGGGAGAGGAAAATTAATAGAAGCATAGAAGTACGCACATATACGCACGATTATGAATCATAAAGATTACGGGTAGCGAGTTGGGAGTTGGGAACAAGAAATGAATGTTGAGCACGACTTGTGATGCGGTAGGATTTGGCATAAACATAATAATTTACATAATAAATTAACAAAAATGACAGGATTTACGTATATAGGTGCGACAAGCAAATTGGAAGAAATTTAATAAGTTTTTTGGGTATCTATAGAACGTTTGCGTATCCTTAAAGAATATTTTTGTGGCACATGTAATATTGTGAGGCAATTAAGTGATCGGCACATTTGCAGTTACGCTAATATTGGCGCGCTTTTATCGAAACTGCTGCTCGTTGCTGGTTTCAGATTGGAAGAACCACGAATTATCATCAAAATTTGGAGAATAATGTATACCTTATTCAATACTTGCTCCATCTTTACGAATCGATATATAACGCCGTCTGGGCTATTATGCTAGACACAATTGCAACTATTCAAGGAGTAGCAGTCGCTCTAGAGTAACATAAGAAGAGCAACAAAGACGGAAAACCACAATTGCGCGATAGAAGGAGACTACAAAGGAACACCGTGCTCTTTAAACAAAGTAGAAATGGTAGCAAATATACAATGTTACTGAGGATCATAAGTATATAGCGTCCAAAATACTAAGTAGAAGTCATCAGTTTTCGACATTTATAAATATCTATAAATTTTTCTTGCGCCGAATATGCTACATTCTGCAACAATATCAAAGTGATTAATCAAACTCTCCTTCTCTACCAACGACTATACATTATCCTGCATGCATATGTATGTATGTGTATATGTGTGTCTTAAGTATTTGTGAAAAATGACAATGCCGCTGGAAAATAATCATTATTCCACGTTGAGTGCATTTCGGATAATTTTACTTTCATAAATGTGTGATTTACACATGCGAGTAAAAGATTGGAAGCCATCGATCAATTATTGCTAAGACAAAAATGTCATCGCTGATGTAGACGTCGTATGCATGAAATGTGCTCTGATTACTGATCGATTGCGAGCAAATAGGCTGATAATCCTTCTATCATAATGCAGAAAATAAATTCTTAAAACTCAGCAGCAGCACGCAAAATGTTAAATCAATACTTCGACATACAAAATTAATTTGCTTTCAGTGCTGTAGAACGTGTGTATATGCATACATATCCACATATACATATGTACATGTATATATGCACTACGGAAGAGCGATTGCGGGCGGGAGATTTTAAGCAGCGACAACTGCATAGCTTCACTCAAAGCATGGACTAGAGTGGAGGATAATAACGTTCAATGAGTAATAGCGAGGAACACTTGAAACGACGCGGAATATATGTATATATTCTTATGTATGTATATATGAAAGCGCTACAACCCATTAAATGCATTTGAAGCAATTCACTTACATATATTCCACAAAAGTTACTGAAGAATGGCAAAGAGTGTTTCAGTAGCAATGCAATTTGTGCGGGCACCGCCAACGCAAACGCCCGCCTCGGCTGCTACATATAGGTCTTATTGTTGTGTTTGCTCTTGACTCGTGCCGCTACTGGCGACAGATGTCCGTTGCGCAAACGCGTACTGCGTCGTTTCGTCGTTGGCAAATGTCGCCGAATTACCAGCCTGCCAATTTTTGGCGCTAAATTATGCATGCATTTGTATGTATGGATGTGAATAACACACACGGCTCTCTAAGATATACGGGTATCAAGAAGTCTGCAAGCGTGTGTTGATATCATTGCCTGGGTACACTTAAGGTACATATGTATATATGTAGGTAGGTTTGCATGCAAATCCTTTTTCGTTCGTGTGTATGTCGGTTCACATTTTCGTTATTCACTTAAGACGTTCTGACATTCATTCGTGTAATTATTGTGTTTGTATGTGTATCTATTGCTAGCTTATGGGCTATGGCACAATCTCAGTCACCCATTTCTATTTAAACCACAGCAGCTGCAGCAAGCAAGAACTATTAAAATGGCAATAAGCCGCTCAACAACTTAGTATAGCGAATCATCTGCGAAGCGTGTGAGTAAATGATTTAGAGTAAGGCATTTTGCCGATTGTACACATATGTGTGTGTATAATGTGTTAAAGAATTGATTAGACCACAAACTTGTACAGAAAACATATGTTTACGTAAGCAGCGCTAGGTGTAGTGTATTGGTACTGATCCCATTACAATTTTAACGGCATGTTTATAACTGTGTTATTTTAGTGCACGAGTGGGAAACATATGCACTTGTAGCGGAGTAGGTTTTTGTTTGCATATGTAGTAGTTTGTAAGCAGGTACTTTCCTTCTTACTAAAAAGCCAAAATGTTTGAGACTACTTGAAGCGGAAATGGTGTCGAATACCATAACGGCAGCTGTTCGTCAATGACGTTAGTTTTGCGAAATAGTTATACATGTTTCCCAGGCCCTCAGACATTTACGTATGGTTTAATCACCGGCGTCGGCGTATTTGCTGGTAATTTTCATATGACACCACCCGGGGTCCAATTTCAAATACTGTCCTTTCTTTAAATTTACGCATAATTTAGTCATGGTTTGTAACCACTTGCGAGCCCTTTACCCGCAGAATAGTAATGCATTACTATGCCCGCTTAACGGAACTACCCCGCGTAAAGGGCTTATAAGTGGCAGTAAGTTCGCGTAGATAGTGAAATGTTTACAGTATTGAATTATTGTTAAACGGGCAGAAATGGCCATACTATGGGCTCTACCGGTAGTTGCCGAGAAAAATTAAAACAATATTAGCTACAAAAGATTACGGTTTTATTCGACAATAAATTGTTAAAAAAAGTGATATCGAGAAATAAACAGAAGATGCAACAAATTATAACGGGAATCCTTAAAACGTATGAATGTATTGTTATGCATACGTATACTATACGATTGACGTCTGATTTGAAAAGCTAAGGCGCCGTTTTGTAGAATCTAAAGCACGCAGGTCAGAGTTCTCGAGCGGGCTGACGATCGCTAAGGAATTACTCTCTAGCATGATGGAGTTGTCATCCAATTCACTGAAGGAATTGTGACCACTATCAGGGCTTGAATTATCAATTCGTTTACAATTATGCTCGCCCGATTCTGTTAGTTCTTTGTTTGTCGATGTTGGCTCACCTATTTTATGTGTATATTGTTTAACGCTCTCCTTAGGCGTTTTCCGTTTTCTACGCACTGCTCGCTGTCGGTGCAAGTGGAAAATATTACGTTTACGGTTGCTTGTCCGATGTGGAGACCGAACCTCTCGCTCGTTGCATATAGAAGTAACACTAGCTGGTAGAGGACGTCGCTTTTTTGGCATTGTTTGTAAAAGCGGCTCTTCATTTTGTGTCTCAATCCAAAATTCACTTAAATCGTTGGCGGGATCTTCTGCAGGTGTATATGTGGGTGACATTACCATGCACTGCTGGTTATTTGATTGCCTGGCAAACTTCATAGGCTTCTTTTCCTTTCTTGTGCTCTCCAGTATCGCGTCTATCATACGTTCCAGAGTTTGATCACCCATTTTGGAAGAGCTCAATGATGCAGTATCATCGCGTATGCTGTTCAAAGATCGTCGTGTATGCCTTTGACTTTGAAACGTAGAATTAGTTATATTAATGGTTGGTTTTGTTTGTACTATAGTTTCATCGCTCTTATTATGTGGCAGATATCGAGGGTGGTCAAAGTATCTATCAGCAATACCCAAACCGCGCAATGCCAGAATCGGTCCGGGAACTAGGCCGCATGGCGAGTATTCTACTTCGAGAGTAGGCAGTGTAGTAGCATAGTTGACAGGATTGTGCTTTGTTAATATATCATTATCTAAACTCTGACTTGGTGCGTTAAACTGTGATAAGATTGGGTTTGGGGGATTGCTGGAGACAGCATTCTCATAAGGTATGATGTTGGATAAGTCTTTGAAACTGTTAAGTCGACGTACAGGACCGCTTTTGTTATATATCTTTGAGCTTGAGTGAAGTGGAGTAGATGTCACTTGATTTTCCTTATCCAACCAGTTTTGTAAACGACGTGAAAGGTAAATATTAGAAGATTTCCGTTTTAGCCTATGCCGTTTGACGGAGAGCGTTTGTGTTTGGGTGGAAATCATTTCATTAGGAGTGTTGAGCTTCTCTGGGGATAAGGCGCTTAAAGGTTTGAGCTGCAAATTTTCGGTATTTGCTTTTGAATCCTCCACTGTAAGATAGGAGAGTCGCGGTGTGTTAACTGCCCACTTAAGCATTGTTTATAGAAATTTAGTTGAATATCTGTAAAGAAAGAATAACAACTAATTAATTGACAGTGTAAAATGTTAGTTTTAAAAAATGGGTATGTTATCGAGTAAAACAAAAAAAAAAGAAAAAATTGGCACCCGTGTGCATTCATTCAGTTCTCACTTCAGTTTAATTTACCGTACGCAAAACGTTTTTTTTCAAATTATGTATTCTAATTTCACTCTTGACGGCGTTTAAGGATCCAGCAGTCGCCTCTGCCAGTCGGGATTCCAGCTGCGCAATGAAAGCGAATTATGTATGCATTTATATTCGTAAAGGAACATTGAATAAACAAAGCGCTCAAGGAAAAGGCAATGAAAATCAGGTTTACAAATGATTTAACTTTGAATTTTTTTTGCAAGTAAAGCAGTTTGGCCACTCCAATTGCTGTCTTTTAGCGCATGTGCTGGTATTCGCGGAGTATGAGAATGTGTTGCTGCCATTGCAGATTTTCGTCTCAATTGGAAAACAGGAATTAAAAAGGCGACTGCTTTTGCGATTTTTTGCTTTCTTTTGTGCTCTGCCATATTTTTCGAAATAGAATTTGCGACCTTTAAAACGCGCGCGCTATTTCCGTACGTTTTATTCCATTTAAATGTAGAGTGGCATCAAGTGGTGTTCGAGTGGCGCTGCTGCCCGTATTGCATTACGTCCGCAAGTGGTTGTTTAGTCCGCGTGACTGCGCATGCGCATTTGCAGTCTAGTCGTTTCAATTAGTATCGCATTAATCGATTATATCCAAAGCTTTTTAGCGAATACCACACATTTTAAGTGCACTTCAGAAGTATTTAAACAATTCGTGATGAATTATATTACACGCATAGTACATATGCACATACATAAGAGTTTGATTAAAGAATTTTAGTAATAGAACGCGCACAATCATACATATACATATATCACAATTTTTTTTTACCTTTTTAAGCACTTTAGAAATTGTTTTATATGATGCTTTTATTTAAGTTGAGGTATAGGCATATATATGATTTTATTCACGTAAGGCACTGACTTTGTTTGTATAATATGGCCTCGGAAAACTCGTCCGTTCACCGCTGTGTACAAAACTCGAATGTGAAGCGGAGTGCAAGGCGCATAGCAGCACTGCTACGTTTTAACTACTTCATTTCCTTTGGATCGTGGCAGCACCACCTTTTCAAACTCTTCTCATTTTTGATGAGAGTAAAGTCTCCACTAAGTTATATGAAGACTTTGTGTGTTGCAATAAGAGCGAGAATTGTAGAGTTGAAAAGAAATTTTTGTTGGGAATGAGTGGAGCAAAATTTGGACTCGGGTATACGACATACATATGCATATAGAATCTCTATTATAGATCCATACTTTGCAGTTAAAATTACGTGAAACCCAATACCTTTAAGCCTTCGATTTGCACTCATCTTTGCGGTTTGCTTTAAGTATTTGCAAAATTGTTTTGTACTCAGTGCATTTTTTAGCAATATTTAGTAAGGAAAGAATGCTTCAAAGTCTAAAAATTGTTGTGACGCTAGGAGGAATTGACTCTCGATTTTAACCTTGTGTTTATTAGTACATGTGTCTGTGTGTGATTGAAATTGGTGTTTTTTATATGAAAGTAATAATTATTTGCGGTACAAGAATTTAGTGGCAAATCATTTGCTCCTCATATAGGCATGCAATACACATATTTATGTAAGTATATATATATGTAGTCCTATTATATATACATTCCAATATGTGTATAAGAATCGATAAAATCCACCGTACAATTGCTTAAGATTAACCGAACATCTGCTCAATCGGCGCTCACAATTTATTAAATTTTATTCCATTGACATGGGATTGTTTGCCCGCGCATTCAATTGGGCTTTCTTTTCTCACTTTCGTTTGTAACCATTTCTATTTTCTATCGAATTGCAATAACCGTGCTAACATTCCAAATGTCCTTTAATTCTTGCTAGCACCTTTCCTTTCTTCACGACTCCGTACATTTCTTTGTGTAAACACTGCAGAATTCTTTCGCACATTACATCACCTTTAATCATTCGACATTTTTCAGTGCGGTTTTTTCTTCAATATTGTTGTTGTGTGTGTTGTAATTTTTTGTTTTGTGAAAAATAGGACAATTATTATGAAATTTATTGGAAAGAGGCTTGAGAACGCGCCAATCCTCGCCGAATAAAGGTCTTAAAGATGCCCTAATTTATCTTCTGACGTAAACAATAGTCTGAGCATGCGGTGGCTGACCGGACAAACGAGCATTGCCGAAAATTGTCACGTTTCATAAGCCTCAAGGAGGGGAATGTGCTAGAGCCAGCTGTTGGGAGAATATTGTACGTAGTATATGGATTTTATTAAAATATTTACTTTTACTTATACAGGTACTGCACATATTCTATGCCCGAAACCAAAAAAGTTTTCACACTCTTTTTACGATTTTATTCACGAAATTTATTATGAAGAAAAATTTTAAGTACTTGCAGTATTTAGTTAATTTCACATATGTATGCATGTGCTCTTAGCCAAACAAATATGTGTTTATATCTCTGTATGCAGTCGTACATATGTATGTAAGTACTTTTGGGATAACTTGGTTCTTACTAAATATCCACGTGAATACTCTTGGCCCTAATTATGAAACATTGATAATGTAAAATATTGTTGTTTCTGTGTTCACATACATATGTATATTTTAAAAATTACTTCTCCATAAACTTTATTAGCTTTCTTGATGTTCAAACTTGTAGAGACAACTCGAGTATTCAGTAGGGCAAAAAAATAATCTTCCTTATTAACTATACATACGTATGCAGCTTGTTTTTATTTTTATTTTATTCTGAAGTTATAATGACATAGAGACTGCTGAATGGAATGGCGTGTGTAATAGGGTTAATATTCATTTATTTTACTTCTTTGATTAGCTTTAATTTACTCATGTCTTCTAAGTTATGCTTTGATTCGACGCTTACGTGATTAGCGGCGGCAATAATTTGTTTAAAAATCTCTGTATATGTGTAGCCGGTCGAAGGAAAGAATGATGTGAATCGAAATACTTTTGAAAATATGGTAGTTACATAAGTATTAAGAATGTTTTGCCTTTTTATACGTGATATGTTCAATCAAATTATTGCCGTCGGCTTGAAGTTAAACTAAATGGTAATATAATAGGTATTTTAATTTCGTATAATGTTGTATTTGGTATTCATAAATATTCGAAATACTATAGTTCGTTTGTTTGCTTATTTTTTGAATGCGTGTAATGTACATAAAACTATCAGTCTCACTTTCCTTGCCAATTTAACAAAACTTTTGTCAAGTAAAATGCGTAATTGGCATGACTTTTTCATAAATATGCTAGGGATTACTTTGTTATGTGTATATGGTTAACTTATTGGGTTACTGCCTGCACATTTTTGTCACACACCTACTCTCACAGAAATCTTATACATATGTAGTAGTATATGCATTTAGTATTTAGGCAGGCAGAGTAATTTTATTTCAACTATTTTCTACTTCTTGCTTGATCTTTGCCATTTTATGCTAGTACAATTACTAATTTAATATAATTCATTTGCATGTTAGTCACACAAAAGTACATATTATTCTGTGAATATACATACATTTATACATATAATAATCGGATAAGGTGAATTATGACTATTGGTTAACAAAAGGACTAAAGCATATATTTAGTACGTAGAGTATTTGAGAACTTTTAACAAAAACAAATACATGGATATGAAATTTTGTATGTTTACGTACTAAAAATCTAACATTTCAATTATATAATGATAAAATTGCGAATTTCAAGTGCAATACAACAAATAACATCTCATAGTCATACATACATTTGACGATTAATTAGGTCAACTTGCATTGCAAATTCCTGATTTCCTATGATTTCATTGCTATATATGTATGTATACTTGTTTAAATATTGTTATCGTCGACTTGTAGGACCATTCCACTCTTCGCAATGTATATGTGGATATGCCCTTGTAAGTGCAAATAATTTCATTTATATATTCAACCATTTATAACTAGCAATTTTAAAATATTAACTAAATAACAACTAGGCAAAACAAATGCCTTCTAAATTTCATTTAAGCAGACATAATGTCTTTTCGTTCCCATTTTGATTCGATTCACTTCGAGCTATGGTCACCAACTTTACATACATACATACCAGCAATATATTCTACATCATATGCATGTCTAAAGACCATTTCTTTTTTTTATATTAAATGAATGTGTACTTATTGTACCAAAATAAATTACGTAAGTATAGCAACTATTTCTAAATCTAAAGCCTTACGCAGTACTGTATCCTAGACTACAAGTACAACAGCTTATATCCTAAAACTAAGACCGGACAATTTAAATATGCGCCAGTGCACATATCTATATTTATAAAAGTGTGTGATGTGTAAGAAAGTGTAGTGGTTGTGATAGCCCTGCATCGAAAAAATGCATTTATAAAATAAACAAAATCACCGAGTACCATTGGTTTAATTTTAATTTAATGTCGCAGTGACAGCTGTTCATTTTTACATACAATTTATTTTGATGCAAATTTGCAACTTTGCGAGACTATAGTTATTTCAGTGGCATCTATGAAAATTTGTGGCAAACCACAATCAGCTGATTACGGGTTTTTCGCGTTTTGGTTTCTTTGCTGTGAAATTAAAATGTAAATACATTTAAATATAATATCATATTATAATTTAATTATTTTAAATTAAATTGCTTAAATATTTATGGAAACAACGATCTCGGCTAAATGATAATGATTCATTTAAACTAAGAGGCCATTTTGGCACATTGCTGCTATTATATCAATGCTACATTAAATGAATACCCTTACTGTGTATCATTCTGAGAGCATATCTGCTGATAGTATATCCAAGGAATATCCCTTGAAAATACTATTGCAAAGATACCAGTGAGCAGTAAAAATATATTGAGTGTCGTTGCTTGTTGCTTTTGAAGCAGGTTGCTATTTGATAGTCACCAAAGTTGTCACATTTTTCATTTAAACTCGAACAAGTCAATTGTGGTATAATTTTAGCTTTGCAGCTTGAAACATGAATTTATTTCTTATGAGCTTTTGAAAGAAGCTTGGAACATAAGTTCACCTAAATTATGGTGGCGCTAGGGTCTGATGCAAATGACGGGCACTCTAAATCTGAGAAATGTTTGCTCTCTAGGTGGGTTGAGCAAGGGACAGTTATTAATAGCTTGACTAGACTTTATTATACTAAATGCGTATGTAGTCACGAATATATTACAATAGGTATTAGAAGAATCTCTTCAGTATCTTTCTAATTTTTCGTACTAATTTTTTCTGTATTCTGACTAGAATTTCATCAGCATTTCACGAAATTTCATAATATAAATCAACACTATTAGCCAGTTATCTGCTAACCAGCACAATTACCACATATTTATAAGGATACTAGTGTCTTTTGTTCTTTCAAACAATTAAATTTTTAACATTCTCTTCAATCTCCATCCGTTAATGTTAATCGTTGTTTTCTTGCAACATAGTGCGGTGTAGGTTTTCTGTGCGTTTATTACAATAATGTTTGCCAGTTGCCAGTTGTCAGCGGTAAGCGTGTTCCAAGTAAAACCTGTGCTCCAGTGCGTCATGTGTGCTTGTGCTTCTTATCCTTTACTCAAATGTCGATTTCAGTTTCTTGCCATTCCACCATTATTACTGGTTTATGTTAGAGTATTTCTGTCTCATATAGCTGCTTTGTGGTAGAGCCGCCAGCGCTGCCAACACTTTTGCCACCACCACCCGAATTTTCCAGCGCCTCTGGATTTGATGCAATGACGTTAGCGACCTGTTTTGTATTATCACTCTTCTCTGTACCTGGTATGCCATTATCTTGTGACTTTACTCCCACATTGGCTATTGGTGACTGGTGCATATTGATTTTGTGCTGTAAATTAGAGTCGCTGTTAGTTTTTTGTAGTTGGACTGTGCTATCTATGGCGGTCATTTCCACGCCGGGAATCTTCGTCATTTGCTGCAAGCGTTGATATTGTTCTTGTAAGAGTTTCTGCTTTTTGAGCAATTCCTGATGACGCATTTCCAGAGCCACTTGTCTCTGGACGTGGTCGTTCGCCGACTCGTTACCGCTGGAATTGCCACTTCCTCCGCCGCTATCTGACTTGTTGCCCAAGACGTCGATTTCACTAACTGTTGGTAACTGGTGTGGGACATTTGGGTTTGTGGGGCTAGCGAGTGGACTACGGGAGCTAGTTCGTGGTGGGGGTGGCGGAGGTATACGTTTGTTAGACACTTTAGTTATCAGATCTGCGGTGCGTTCGGGGACTGGTGGCTTGTTAGTCACCGCACGCACGTTTTGTGGCGGTGATATGTCTGTATCTGACCCACTGGGATATGAATGGAGACGTCGAAGACTTCCGACATTGGTATGCACCATTAAAGATGTTACATTGGTTGCATTACCAATGGTTTCGTTGGCGTTGTGATTGCTTTGCTTATGTGGCAAAGTATTAACAACGCTGGCGCCTGTGGTGGAAATGGGTTGCGATTGCATAGGAATGATGCTTGCGTCGGTAGTTTGGATATATAGACGTGCTTGGGATATTTGTGTGGTGACTGTGCTTTGCAGAGCTTGTGAACTTTCATCAGATGTTGAATCATCGGGGCGTACCTATTGAATATATAATGATTTTCTTCAGGTCAATATTATAAGCAATGTAGTTGTGGACCAACCTCATTATTCTGTGAGAGTGGTTTCGAAAAGGTCTGCAATTCGTCTAGCAGAGCATCGAGTGCGTTTTCGGGTCCCCCGCTGATAGCGAACGACCCCATCCTGGGTGTTGGGATTGGCTAAAGTAATAAATTTACAATAATAATAACAGCAACGTATAAAAATATGAAAAGTACATATACAAAAGGTTATGATCATATCATAAAGTACAGTTAACAAACATTCAAAGTACTGAATATCTGTATTGATAGTGATTGTAGGAATTGTGGAGATAGTATGTAAATAAGTGTGTACATTTACTAAATAAGAAAGTTGCTTGCAAAGTAAAAAATGTATGTTGATGCAAGTATAAATACAGGTATTTAATAGGCATTTATTGAGAAAATTAGTGCATACATACATACATGCATAAGCTACAAAAGTGACGTCTCTAGAAATATCATAAATCATACTTTATATGCACATACATGCATTCATAAAATGCATTGCCAATTAAGGGCAACAGTTCAGAATGAAAAATATACATTGAATAGATGTTCGTTTACACATATGGTATGTAGTAAATCGTTCACTAAAACAAAAGTATTTACATTTAACCTTACACGATTAAAAAAAGCTTCTAATATAGATAGACATTTTATTAAAAAAAAAAAAACAAATAAATTCTAAGTTATGCATGTGAAGCGTTTTAAACGTAATTTCTACATACAAGCCGATCAAAAATGTAAAAAAGATCAAAAATCATAAAAAGTAAATTTAATCGAAAAAAATCGAAGTTAACCTCACACTACCAATTCGGTAATGGACTGCACTGTTTGTTTGCGTAATTGAAAAACAGAACATCGGAATAAGTGAACGGGAGGGGGTTTAAATACGAGCACGATTCGACTGATGTCCAACAAGCAAAAATGAATGTTAGGTGTTTTTGCGTATCCAACTTGACAACGCAAATGAGCCATAAATTATATCTGTTTACGTTGTATGTACTGTCGTCCTAAGAATACTTCACCGATTGGCAGTTAATACATAATAATTTCCTTAAACGCTTCGCTCTATTCAGGCTGGTGTGAAGTATCTGAATGAAGGGATGATTTCAATAAATATAAATACTATTTTTCATTTATAAAGAAATTAATGGACACGGGCACATCATATGTATATGTGTAGATATATACATATATGCTTATGTTTTAAACGCAGTAACTTCTTTCGTTAAAAGTGAATATAATTTCAAACTCAGTACTTCTTCTTCACGCCTATGTACGAGTATTGGCGATACAAGTTTACTTATCTTTTGGAATGCATTAAACGTTTTTTATTTAGACGGTTTTTAGATAATTTCTTGTTCTCTATTGGAACACATTTTAAATAACATTAAGTTATCAATAAAACCTGGTATCGGTATGCGATGCATAGCTCATATAAAAATATATTCACGCAACATCATCATCCAACAGTTGTCTTCGTTTTTCATTTTGTTACAGAAATAATTCCCATAGATCAGTAGAGATCACCTGTAAATTAGCATTAATTTTTTGAAGTCTTTAGCAACTTCAACTACCATATTTGCGGTTTTTACTTCGATTTCCCAACTTAAATTGTTTAAACATATATGTACATACTTATAGTATATGTAGTTGCTTATGTTGTGACAAGGGCAATGCCAAGTTCTTTTAGATATGCACATTTCTATTAGTTAATATGCACACACACATACATACGTCTTTGATAATGCGGATAAGCATTAGTCAGCACGTAAAGCTTTTCGGACATACTATATGTAGCAAATGTACGAGCGTGGTACATAAGTATATTCCAGTAGAAGTGGTTGGATGCAATGAGACAAAGGTTTCTATGCGGCGAATCATGAATAATTTCAATTTGGATTGCTTTAAAGTATGTGATGATTACATATGATGATGTTTCATTAATGTGTAATTAAAAACAAAAGTTAATACAATGAAAGTTTTATATAATGAACACAAATCTTCGATTTGGACATCAATGTGAAAAAGAGGCAACAATTGTGTTAAATATTTATGCGATAAAAAAGAGGGAAGAACATATATAAAATGTGGAAAGTAAAATCATTTGTATTCATAATAAATACGCAAAACAGTAATAAAAAAGGCACTTGTGGAGCTAAACATACAGTTAAAAGTATAATTGACGATTTTGCACACAATCGTTAAATCGAAAAAGAAATTAAAGAAGTTTTGTACTTGAAAAGTATAAGTGAAAATTAAATATGAATGATTAACAAGCTTTTTTATTTAAAGAAACATTATTTTACATTATTGTAACATCAACCTATTATGTATTATTAGTATTTAACACAATAAATCAGTTTGCTATTTAATTCAATTGTATTTCATTAATTTTTTTTAGAGAATTTAAAATCTTGGGATTTTGATTGTTGATTATTAACTTTTGATTTTGTTTAGATTTGATTGTAATTTAGAATATATCTTTGAAGTTTAGGTTTGATCAAGCTTAAAAGGATCACTAGTGATAGAAAAATAGTTATACAAGAAATTGTAATTGTTATGATTAGAAAAATGCGATTATTACTCAGTGATTGCCTCTTTGAAGTTAGAACTCCATCGCCAGTTAAACTATGGTATACAAAGAAGAACAAGAAGAAAACAAGACCACATTGGTATTGTTGATTTTAAATTATTAATTATGTAACGACGATAAACGAACTTTTTAGGTTTATGTTTGATAGATACAAGACATAAAACGTGAAGTCTTCTACTTTTATCAATTAAATAAAATATTTTCGTAATAATTTTTTCGTTTGTGGATGCAGTCCAATTGATGTTCAACGCGTCGCAGCAAAGACGGAACCATACATATCTACATATTTATACACTTATGTATACTCATTTACATACATAAATCATATCGCGCAAAAAACGCAAATGTGAAAAAACGTAGTAAACGCATAAGCACATAGGTATGTAGGTATGTATAGATTTACAATGAAGGAGTGCTTTGCTGCAGCTAATGTACATATATATGTAACTATGCGCAATGGATTTTTGTTAAATAATTTTGGCCAATTGTTAATGTATTTTTTATGTTATAGCTAATTTTCAATGTTAAAGATTTACTTTTTATCTCGGTTGCAGTCCGCCGACGTCCACTCATCACAATATTCAGCCACCTCACACCGATTCGAAACTATTCGATTGGGACGCTGGCAGCAATTTTATTGTAATATCGAATTCGATTAGCGGTTTTCATTGAAAAATGTTTAGTGCAAAAATAATATAAAAAGGAACACGTATAAAAAGTCCAAAAGTTGGATGTTTAGTAATGCAATGCTTGCATGTAAGTGTTTGTTAGGCGTGAAGTGAATCGGTGAAGCGTTTCTTAAACCAACAACAACTAAAGAAGTATGTAAGCGCAGCTAACATCACTGATGGAACGGTACTTTGCAATTGATTTACTTTTAATCCGAAAATTAGCATTGATTTATACATAACAAGCGCAGGTGAAGGCCTTTCCGTCAAGGCTGCGAAGCTTTCATAGAATTCAATATGAGTCTAAAATTGATTTCGCTCAGATTGAAGGACATGTACAGTTTCCATTTGATTGTGTTAAAATTGCGGATGTAATGTATAGGCTTTACGACTTATCCTGAGTACGTGGCTCGCCTCCATAATAATGAATAATTAACACTTTCCATACATATGTATGTAAGTGTAATTGATTTCTGCGTTGCCGGATTATAATAGTGTTAGTATTTACTTAGGGGGTTTAAAGCCAAAAGCTATATCGATATTCGTGGAGCTTGAACGTAAGGGGTGGTAAAATATATGTTTAAACTATCTTTGTGACATATGTAATTTTGACAATGTTTTTGTAATAATTCCTTTGTAAGTGTTTTTCAACGAGGGGAGTTTAGCAGCAGAATGCGGGTTGGGACTGTCCATTTTAGCGTTTTTGAAGATCAAAAATATTCAAATTAATTTGTAGCTCAAAACACAAATACTTCAACTAAGTTTGTAAGCAAACAGCCAATTGCAAAATAAATATAATAATCAACTTAAATCGATTAATTTATGCCATTCATAATATGATTTCGTACTCAACTAAAATGTAATTAAATGTAATTTATTTACACACAAAACTAGTTATCATATTATTTTGTAGTATTTCGGGAAACGTTTCAACTACTATTTACTCAACGGTTTCATATACTAAAAGAAATGAAAATTGCTTTGCAATATTTGCAGGATGATCCAGCGAAGTAAAGTATACGAATATGGTAAATTTAACCGAAATCAAAGTGAAATAAAAATCAAAAGTAGAAGTAATCAAATTCTAATGCGAATTTGTAATCGGTTATAATGAATGCATTAGTCAAATGGTAGTAGGCAATTTAATGAATACTCTGATATTTCAGTGAAACTTTATTTTTCTTGTTGGACAATGAAATTTATTTTTCATTCTTTAGATCAAATTTTAGCCAATAGGATTGCACTATACGCCAAACGGTCTAGTGCAATTCAGGAAGGAATTCGAACTCGGAATTGATCGAATATTTCCCGACAGATACCTGAAATCAGAAGAGTTATTCACATTTAGCAAAGCAATCACACGGCTACGTCCTTTTGATAGCTTTTGCTTTTCTCTTTGCTTGTAACGAGTCTACAAACATATCAGGAAATATCCGATAATTTTTAAGTTCTTGTGGCTATTATAAGGGATAATTAAGATTTATAATTGAACTAAGGTTTTCTAAGAGAACTTACTTTGTCTGCATTGGAGATCTCGGCCGAACGCGGCGGCTCTTCGTTGATTTGCGGTTCGTTAGGAGGCAATCGTTGCTCTTGTACGCTGGCCAGCCTGCAAAGGGGAGTAGTAAATTGGCGATAACTTCGATCTTAACAAGAAATCATACCTTTTCAATGTCACTAGTGTACCCGTTAGTTTTTTACATCGCCTTAATGCCGACTCAAGCCTGTCAGGTTCTTCTTTTAGAAATTTCTCTTCCCGTACGACACGTTCCATTTCGCTCGATAACATGCAACGCAGTCCATTGGAGAGTCCAGGAAATTTCATTTTCAATTCCGCAACGGTTTTACTGTAAAATGACATGGTTTCAAAGTATTGTTATGTGTGTGTGCTTATGATTATTATGACTGTATTCTGCTTTTGTTTTGGTTACCTGGCTCTGCTGAGTACCAATGCCATGTCTTCCACGGCAGTCATATTGACACGTGTACGTCGATTAATCACTTCGCCGCGTAGTGTCTCCACAGAGGCTTCCAAGTCGCTAAGGTCTTTTTCCAGTCTGATAACTTCTTGCTTATAAAGTTCCTCTTCGCGCGAGATTCGCGTGGCATCTTGATCACCCTGATGGCTGCCCCAAAATGTACCGCTGCTGGCCAGCAGTGTGGCACGTATGCGCATAAAAGTTCCTTTGATGTCTTCGCGCACTGCGACCGCCTGTGCTTGAGATAGACGGCGCAGCGTACGCACCTCCATGCGAAGATCCTTGGCCTTTTTCTGTAAACCGCGCAAATGATTGTAGACCTCTGGAGCAAGAGCTATATCAGCGCGATAGGTTTGGTGCGTCTGAGCCAAAACCAGTGGCTTGGGGGGCGGCGGCGGTTTAAGGCGGTCTCTCTCTGCTAGAGCAAGGTAAATACAGACAAAAGATCAACATACTAAAACCGTTTTCTCTCTGTGTATGTGTGTAGGTGACTAAGCATTTGCGGGTGTGTTGGTTCCTGTGTGACTGTGTGAATACCAAGCCCGCTATTGTTGCAGTGTCTTAAACATTAAGCTTTTGTATATACAAGTATGAGCATGTATTTGAGAATATCTAGGGATATTTTTGCTCTTGTTTGTGTGAATACTGCTTAGCTTTTGGGATGAGTGAAGAAGTAGCCATTAAGTAATAGTGCAAGTGTACTTACCCTGGGAAGATGTACGAGGTAAAGTCGATGATTTTATTGCTGGTTTTGTAGGTTTGTTATCGGCTTTTAGTTTGTTTTGAGTAGTAAGCATTTGATCGGCAGCACCAGAGTATTGGTGACAGGTGTGTTTGTATGTGTGGAATAAGAATAGAATATTACAAAATTTGCAGCGTAGCTGTGACCATGAAGATTTGTACATAATATGTATGGATTTAGCCACAGAATAGGCACAATTAGTTGGATTGCTAGTAATGTACGCATGCAATTTTTGAGCAATGCTATGTGCATATACATATGTATATACACACTTATATGCATGATTATCGAAATTTTAAAATACTTGGGTTGGATATTGTTTATGGTATATAAGCAAAATTGTATACCTAATGTTATACGAGTATATAAAGAATTTGAAGATTTACATGCTTTCAAAGGTGAATGGCGATTACGCAATCGGTTATCTGTACATGCAGGTATTTAACTATAAAATTAATATAATGAATTTAAATACACAACAAGAAACAGCAAGATATTCCGAGAAGAGAATTAATTACCAGCGTGTTGAGGACTATGAGATTTGGGTATTCCTTGTATGTCGTCACTAAAGGAAACTGACTTTTCAAATGACACTGATTTCTCTGAAAAACAAATGAATACCATTAGACAAACCTCAAAGCGTCATAACTTGTTAGGCACAAGATTTATTCCTATTAGTAAAAATTAAAAGGCGTCTAATTGATTATTTGAACTAATTTATTAAACATGCATTGAAAAAGTTAAAAAATACGCTTTGATATTAGGAGCACTTGTACCATGAACAATCAAATATTGCATTTTGAATTACTTTTTCATAATGAGCGCTTAACAAAGTCATTAAAATGCAATTAATACATTTGGCTTAATGAATTTAAGCGCGAACTAGTCGCATTTTAATACCAATATAAACAATAATACAAACACATGAGTGCAAATACCATATGTGTTGTATATGAATGAATATTGTTTTTTACGATGAAACTATCACTGTTTGACAACTCTGTACAAATGCTCTTAATCTTCATAATTTTATATTAAACAAAGTTATGTTAGTTATTGGGAAGGTTAAGCATGCAGTTAAATAAATTTCTCTTTGATTGATAACCATTGCTGTGAAACTTACGGCAAGAGCTCTTCCCTAACTTCGGTGCCTTTTCCCTTATATACAAATCATTTCCCGACCCGTTAGCTACATGAAATGGTTGTAAAAAATATAAGCCGTTCAATATTATGGTTGTAATTGTGATAGTTTAACGATATACGAGATATTATTATGTGTGGGCGCATAGTAATTAATTGCATTTGGTGTCCTTGCATGAAAATGAGTAATGCATCCAATTATGTGTATATGTATTTTTAATGTTGTCAGGTTTTTATAGTGATAAAGTCATATTTTTTATCCCAAAGGCCGTACCTTTCCCTTAGCAAATAAACTATGCAAAATATTCAGCTTTGAAGTCCACAGTCCATAATACCTATTATTATTCCCACATAGCCACTCTCATGCCCATTGAAAATAATACGTCTGCCGTTACGTAATCAATTTTGTGTATTGTAAAAACCTATACGCTGTCATTTGGCTTAAAAATTATGTCCATTTTCAATTTGAAGTTAATTTTTTAGCAAAAATATAGCTTTGCGTGCAGAGCTACCTGTATGTGTATGTTTGTACATTTAATATTATGATTGTTTACCTTTTACTACGCGCGCAACATGTATACATTTTTGTTTTTTATAAAAGACCTTTCGCACATACACATAAAATAACATTTTAATTAAATGACTTTTTTTAACGAAATTCAACAATATTTTTGCATAACAAAAGATCGCACGATTGGCTAAGTAATTTTTGTGGGTATTGATTTTTTACTTGCAAAAAGACAACAATGCGTTAAAGTGAAACTGATGTTATAGGAGATGATGTTGATGGCGGTGAGCTAGGGTGATAGTAATAGTGATGGTGATGGTGTAAATGTTAATGAATTATTGATAGTTGCAAGTGCGTGCGCTTGTAACGTTCGACAATTGGGTTAACGAAGTACGATGTGTCTTGCATTGATGTTTCGTCTGTGTAAGCAGCACAAATGCAAGCAGACAGATAATTAGAGGTGTGTGATAAATGGCATACATACCTTGACACTGCGTTGGTACAACCAAATAGTTTTGATCCAAGGTTGGCACGGGAATCGGTGTAATTTGTGGCTGTTGATTTACGAGAGCTTTCTGTACTAGACCTGTTAAATTGGCCAATTGGCGTTCCATATGTTCTACACGAATACGATGCAAGTCTTCAGGCCTAGTTATAAAATGTAAATAATTATAGTGGGAGAGGTTAATCGATCCAATTCTTATAATATATGTATACTTCCAAAAGAACGCATTTTATAGATACATATATTTAGTAAAATCATGAACTTTACTAACTATACTCGTATGTGGGCATCGTTAACGGTGTATGAATTTGTAAGCCAGCGCGACGTAAATGAGATTATGAATAAGATATCATGAATCTTTTTGTTTATATATTAAATTTGTAACACTCAAATGGAAACGTCGGAGACCCTGTAAAATATATTCATAAATGATCAGCGTGACGACCTGAGTCGATTTAGCCACGTACGTCTGTCTGTCGGAATATGCGGAACTAAAATCTTTTTGAGATATCGATTTGAAATTTTGCCCACTACCTTTTCTTTCCAAGAAGCTGGTCCCATATTTGTCGATACCGCAGATATCGGACCACTACAGCATATAGGTGTCATTCAAACTGAACTATCGGAATCAAGTGCTTGTATGAAAACATTTTCATTTGACGAGATAGATATATTCACCAAATAAGGAATGGGTTTTTGCCTAAGGCAATGGTGTAATCTCCGAACAAATTATACACATAGGACAACTATAGCATATAGCTGTCATACAAACTGATCGATCGAAATCAAGTACTTATATAGAATATTTTGTATTTGTGAAGGGTATTAAAGCCTTGATGCAGCAAAGTTAACATTTGTTTCTTTTTTTTTTTTAAAAAGTAGTAACGCTTTTATTCTGTTCTCCAATTTTCCAGTCTGTTTAGCCAAGTGCTATGTAGTGTTGTGAACTTCATTTTTAATTGGTGTCAACTAACTTGCGTATGCTTCCTTAAAATGTTGCCTCAGGCACTTCATTTAATGTGTCTTTTATTTTAATGGTTTTAAAAAATTCGTTTTTGGACCGTGACAGAGTTGAACGCTTTTCCCAATTATCGCACCATTCGTGACTAGCAGATAGATGTGTATATTCAGTCTCAGATAGTTTCTTGGCGGGTTAGGTTCAACAAAATGTTTTGTTTGCGCAAAAAAGAATTCTTACTCATGTGTTTCCTGCAAACTTTGGTAATATGCCTGACATATACAATGGAGAATTCGCCTGATAGTCTAGAAAAAGAAATGTTGACTGACTGTCTTATGCAACTGAACATATCGGAATTGTTGCGACTTCAGCGTTCATTGGAAAGACTACCTGAACTTCATGAGAAGGAAGATTTTGAATCAAACTTAAATAATGAATTTAACAAAACTACGAACGATTCGGGTGTTTGTGATTTGCCTAATGAAAATAATAAAAATAGTACTTGTGTGAGTCCACAAGCCTTGCCGATAACTGCCGAAAAACGGTTAGAATTAAAATAAAATGCCTTTTAGAGGTGTTTCAGGCAGCCCCTTAATATAGTCAACAAATGGTCTACATAATCGCCTAGATAACAATAGCAAATTGTGCTATTGCGGGGTTTATCCTTTAACGCCTGAAAACAAGCTTTCGGTATAAAACAGTTTATTTTTTTTATTTAAAGTGGGTACGAACATCATCTTTGGCAACCAGAGGAAAAGCCTTCTAAATTGCAAACTTTATTCCATATCACCATTACGGCGTTGGCTTTTCTCTCTTTCGGCGGATATCTGCTCTGCCTTATTGTGCAAGCTATAAGGAGCAAAGGTAGGAAGCGGAAGGTTAGTTAAATTTGTGAATAAACTATTTTACCATTAAACACAGGTACAACCTACTTTCACCCCGCTGCAACTACTGCGGTGACTAACACAAATGGTGGAGTTAAAAGAATAAAAATTTACCGGCGTAGTCGCAGAAGAGTACACTCTACGCCGAATGAAGTGCATGCATACATGGCTTATTATTAGCCAAACATATTATATTTTTGATATATCAGTTGATAAGCATCAAATTACTCACCTAGCCGAATCGTACATTTGGTTCGGTCTCGGTAGTCGCCCTGGTCCTACTTTCATTCCGTATACAGCGTATTGATCCTCAGTAAGACCCACATCACTGTAGTGAATGGAACAAGTGATTTGAAATCATAAATTGTTTATATTTTGTGCTTTTTTGTACCAACCCCTGCTCTTCATCAATGATTGGCGCAACCACTGGTCCTCTGGTTCCATATTGACTGTAGTATGGCTCCTCGTAGTTGCCGCGTGTGCTGCGTTCAGGTGAACTTGAGTAACCATCTGAAATTTTTTGCAATAAGTTTTGTTGAGCCAACGCCAGTTTCATGTTTTACGAATGCCACACGTTTATTCAAAGCGGGAAACATTTTAGTACATAAACAAAAATTAATTTATATTTATAATTTAGTATATGACAAACTCTAAATTATGTTAATTACACAGTATATACAAATGTCTAATTTTTACGAATTGAAAGAATATTTAATGATTTAGCCTTGGTGTACCGAATTGGTTCTAGTCCTCAATAATGTACCACATTTTTTTGAAACAAAATAATAAGTCAAATAATGAATGGCAATGAATGCAAAGTATGCAAAGTATGTACCTGGGATGCTATATAACTGATCCGGGGTATAAGGAAATAATGGGTCCATGCTACCTCTTGAGTTGTGCGCCCGCAAAGGTTTCACTGGCGCTCCTACACACATGTATGCATGGACAGAGTATAGTACAGTTATGGAGTTTAAAGGGGAGGTAGCGGTAGTCATTAGTAGTCGTGAAGAGTTGATAATGAAGAGAACAATATACGAATACATATATACAAATGTATGGACGAGGTCTAATTAATGGATGTGAGATGAAATTAAGAATTCAAAAGCTCGGTAATCGCAAAGTAAATTAAAAATGGCGATTGTATTGAAAAAATAGAGCACAGATATTTATAGTGTATTTATTTTCATGCTTATCATATTTAGTTTTACCTCTTTAAGAAACAATTTAATACAAGGCTAAATTCTATTTAAGCCATTTAACTTACCAATGGGAACTTTTGTGCGCTCAGATGAGTACATGCCGCGCGGTAACGTCTGCGAGGTGCCCACGTAGTACGGTGCCGCCTGTTTACCGATCTGCAAACAAAGATCATAACGGTTCAAACTGAAACTTAGTTTAGCTAATGTGTCGTCATAAGCGTGAATAACAACAATTACACTAACGAAAATTTGTGTGTAGGAAAAATATTTGAAAACGTCATAATGCTTGTTCAGTAAGAGTCATTACAATTATAACCAAATCGTGCCTTTATCGCTGGCGCTGGCTGTTGTGACTGTAACTATGTTTGAGAATACTATGCGGTGGCGGCCAAGTAGAAATCTTCATGTATTTTCTCTGCTGACAAGTTTTGCAAAGCAATTTTTTACGAACTGTCGATCGCGTAAATAATTTTTGGCGCGCATAGCGAGTAAAACAACGGTCGATTGGCAATTGGCAGTTGCAGATTACGCTATTGTATTTACATTGCAATTTCACTTTCAATCCGTATTTTCCAGACGGCTGTCAATGGATTTGTTCAAATTGCTGTGTATGCAAGTATTTTTGTATATATGTATGCATGTGAATGCATGTATTTTAACAAAACTAGTGGAAATAATGTCAGAGTGTTACCAAGATGCTTTTTTTCTTGCTAAATTGTCTTGAGCTGTCCACTTAAAAGCATTTCAAACTAATTTCCGTCTTTTTTTTGTGTCTGAGATGATCGCCTGCATTACTCTATCTGCGGCATACGCCACTGCATGTGTAAATTCCCTATTTTTTGTCCAGTTGGGTGTGAATAAAAAGTGTAAACAATCAGTCGGTAGACAGGTGCCATCTATATCGCTGTACGTTGGCAATTATCTTGTAGATCCACTACCAGAGGCTACAGCGTTCAACAATGGCGCTGAAGTCTGTAATGCGTTTGATATTCGTAGCTTGATGAATGAATGAAAATTACTAGCGGTGATTGTGCTGTAGATTAGTGGTTTGAGCCATTCAAAAGCTTTGAATACCAGGGGGCTGCGGAAGAGGCGTGAGCAAAGTGCTTGTTGTGCTTACAAACTAGTTTGTTGGCGTCGCGAGCGTTCCATCTTCCAGTCGCACAGCCCGGCTAGAGTCGCTTCCATATGTACCACCGCCACAGTTGACTGCCAATAAAGTTCGAAACATCGTCGCGTGCAGACGTGTGTCTACGCGAAGTCAACTCGCACGGATATATAAATAAAAGTGAATAAAAAAGCCAGGCGAATACGCGAAATTTCAATATAAAAAATATAAAAACGAAAGTGAATTGCGAAGAAAGTGGTTAGGGGGGAAAAAAATAGAAAAGAAACGGGAAGATAAGGAAGAGATCGAAAGTTTTTTTGCATATAATATAATACTCATTTATGTGAGAAATTTCACTTTAAAGTGCGAATTGAAATGCATTGGAGTTGGATACATTTCTTTGTCCTTGCGATAGGAGTACTTCATAACATTAATTTTGGTTATGGCTGGAAACCTATAGTGGGGGGATCAATTACCACCTCCTTCAATCTGCAGCAATCCCATCCCGGTTCAGCGACTAGCGCAAAAACATTAACTCTTGGCAGTAGCTCAGCTGAGAGTTCTGAATATTCGACGTCGCCCTTACTTCCTCAGAAGTCTGCAAGTAAGGTGCTAAGTGGTGTTAGTGATGCCATCGCTATATCGGCACCTTTGACGGCACTGCCAGGATCACATACTGGATTGAAGTTTGAAACAGACGAATTCGAATATGAACGTGATTTATTCGGTGGTGCTGATTTTGGAGAGGTAATAGGATATGCCAAGCGCAAGTCAGTGCAACGCATGACTGTTGAAGTTTTTACAATTTTAATTACCAATGATGATTTGTGGTTTTCTCTTGTTATCGTTGGAAATAGGATAACTGCGCTGTAAAAAAGTTCGCCTTTAATCACGATGGTACCGTTACATACGAAAATGATTTGCCAGACTTGAATCAATTCACGATTTGTTTCTGGTCACGATATACAAATCATAGTGGCGATCACGTATTATTAACCTATTCGGGTAAGTGGTAAATGAAACATCACCAGCCTCGGGCAAATTGTTAATTGGGTTAATTGTACAGCAATGATAAGCAAAATTCGAATTGTTCGATTTTGGTCATATAATTAAATTTTCTATTTTATATTTGGATCTTTCTAAGCTGGTTGGGTGTGGCATGACACCATTTCGTTGCGGATACAGGTTTGCAACTGCATGCACGCGGCGACCACTCAATCTTAACTCAGTGCGTGCATTCATGCGTCATTATACATATTTACACATTAAGTGGTGCGGATAATATGTATAGTACAATCGTGGCATTAATTCAGCATGCAAAGTTTGTATGGAGGAAACGATGTCATTTGAACTACAATATTACATCGCCACGCATATCTCTTGAATTTGTTGAATTGAAGAAAGTTATGTAACCAAAGCGTTATTATGAGACGTATAAAAAGTGAAAGGAAGCCAGCTTCCTGCTGTCTTCGTTAGTTCATGACACAACACAATAAGGTACAACTCGCGGCCACACCATACCACCAAAGCCACGGTTTCGTAAACGAGCTACGCGCCTACGGTGATTCCAATATATAAGTAACTACGCTGCCCCGATGCTGCAACTCAACAAGCAACGCACGTCACGCGCCAGGCTTTCGCCGCAGCAAAACTAGGTTTACATACCACACATCAGCAGTCTGTGCCAAAGTTGCATAATTGAAGTTACAGGTTTTAGCATATGGCACAATTTATTGCCAGTCGGTGAATAGTCATAAAAAAGTAACGGAATTAATGGATTTTTAATTATAATAGTGCCAGTGTGCTAATAAAAGTGAAATTACCTTTTGCAAAAAGTGAGGATTTAGTTATTGCACTGCAATGCTAAGTACTTGTTAATTGCGAATGGTTGGCAGCGAGCTGTGCGCTGCTGTGCGGCGTGCAGTGGTAAGTGTGTCCGAAGTTGTAATAAATTTGCAACTCAATAACGGATTGTTGATTGCAACGTATATTTTCATTCACATGGATGCTCAACATCACAACATTTCCGGTTTATTTCCCACTGCTGTGGCAGTGAATTCCATTATAATGCGTTGTAATTGTTATGCTTGGGAATTCCTTAAACGAATTTAAGTTTTAAGTAACGCCGATGAACATGACCGGAAATGCAATTGATTTTTACACTGCACGTGCATGCAACGCTCACAGCAATGACTATATCGCGAAAACACACGTTTAAACACTATAATCAACCAATTGTAACCGATTGCAATGCGGGGAAATATCCCACCATACTTAAGTAACTGTAGGTCAGTTGACTACTACATTGACCCGCTTATTTTCCAAAGCATTGAAAAGATCCGAATAGAGTCAACATGTTTGAAAGAAAATAAAAAAATTATCTTGCTGGCAGTTTTCAATGGCCTATAACATCCAAATATATTCCAGTGCTCATATTTTCCGTTTTCATTTCATATTTCTAAATGATTTTCGCTGTGTTCAATTTCCGCCGACGATTGTTGACCAACTGACCCACTCTAATCCGTAAATACCAGTTAAGGATGAACCGCGCGAGTTCCAGTTTTGGGTTTCGAACTCACAAAATTCCAGTTTTATTTCAATGGCCATAAAAGGTCAACAAATATATAGGTAAGCCCGTAAAAGGTGTAATGCTTACATTGAGGTTATGAATTTGTACCATACTCGTTATGCATTTTAATTGATTTTTTCGCTTCATTTTGCAATTGTGAATGCTCCACAATTACTTACAGGCTCAATTATGCATTACGTGTGCGTCAATGGCATCAACAGTGTTCGTCTTGGAACGGGAAAACAGGTGAATGGCAGGTTTGGGTGAAATCGGAGCGTATTGGACGTGGTTTTAACAATGCGGTGAGTGTGCCGAAGCTTAGTGTACTCGGTATTCGTGGCTGTATTTTTACCTTGCCTTTGAAGTTATTTAAAATATTCGATCTTAAAATTGAATTAAAGTGGTCCTCAATGAGCGCGTCACCTGCCTACATACCCATTTTATTATCTGTAATTCCTTTATTGTAGTTGGTTAGCCATACCATTCCCGCTAGAGGCAAACTCTTTTCGGGCGGACCATCGCCAACGGGTATTATTTCACAAGGCCTACATTTTGAGGTCACTTTGGTACAGATATATCATATTGCGCTGAGCGCGGGTAAAGCGCATCGCGACCACAAGCATCATCACGTACACCACTTCGACCATGAGGGACAGGAGTTGTCAACCACAACAAGAGCCCCCCCTGCTGTGAGTTGATTAACTTCACACCATTATATAGTTGTATCAGCAAATTGGATATTTTCCTCCTTTAAATTGCTAGATAAACCGGCCATTACCAATGCACAGCCTGCTTGCAAGTGGACAAATACCAACTCGAGTGCGTCTGAATCTCGCGCAACCGCCGCAGCAGCCGCCACAATTACTCATGCAGCCGCAACCAACCATACCAACGCAGACGGTGCCACAGTTACAGAGCGGCGATAACACTTTATTCCCACTGTCTGATCAACAACAAGCCGTCACCATCAATACGAACTTTGTAAACGGCCAAATCAATACCGGCTCGCGGTTGGTGTCGCAACAGTTACTGGGACATATCGGACAGCGAAATGCGGCGTTAGCATTGCGACCAAAGACTGTGCAAACTAGCTCAACGACACGCGAATTCAGTACGCTTAATAACCCAGCCAATGTGCAGTTTATAGACGAAACCGAGACACGAATTATTTTCAAGCGCCATGCAAAAACCAACAACACCAATACGTTATTTGGTCAGAAAGTGGTACGTAAACGAGCTGCAAGTCCCAGGCGGAGACAAACGTCAGATCAAACAAGTAAAAATTTACAAAAACGGGGTTTGGTATTGCTGGAGGACGGAAGCGTTGTGGATGACCCGTTATTCGGTAATAGTTTCAAGTATGATGGTTTGGCAGATTTTGGTGGGCAACAGTTTAAACAGGATTTAACACAGAAAATGAACATTGAAGATGAGATTCAGGAACACGATCGCGAGCCAGCTGAGGAAGAAGTAAAGGCAGTAATGGCGCTGTGCAGTGCCTGTGACACGGAACCATTCCAAGGTGCTATCGTATTTGCATGGAAAAATGTCAAGGAGCAAATGGATAACACGCTGAAAGGATTAAGTGTGGGTGGATGTGGTAATTTCTGATTACCACGGATTGGGTAGGAGAGACCGCACTAGTCAGCAGGTTTATGAGTGCTTGGGGAGATTGCAGCTGTTTCGTAGGTTGACGCATTTTAAAACGCATTTAATTGCGGGCTTCGACTGATTGCGCGGCCGCGTTATCGGTGGTGCTTGCATTATCTAGTTTAATTTGTAGATAATATTCTTTTGTATTGTATTTTATGTACATATGTATGTTATATACCTATGCCTATTTAAAATTATTTTATTATGTTTTATGCTAATAAAAATCTCACCTTTGATTTATGAATGTGCTGATGTTTGTAATCTGAATCAAATTCTGGTTCGCTGAAATAGCTCTGCGGAAATAAAAATTATAGACACGTTTAGTGATATTAAAACATATTCGATTGAGTTAGATCAATAACCTGATCTTGGTCCCAATGATTAGGCGTAACTTGTGGGAGAGGCTGAGGTACGCCAGGGCCACCTGGTAGAATTTGTGGCGGTGCAGCAACTTCAGTGGACTCGAAAAGTCTTAATACTGAGCGGTCACGAATTTCTCGTAAATGTGAACGCACATCCTCCAGTTCATAAAACATGTCCTTGCTTGCATCATGTATGTAGATCTTAACGTTTGGACCCTCTAGATATGCCATGGTTAGTTGTCGTGGAAAGGAACGAACGAAAAGCGCTCGAACGGTATCAATTGAGGTTATTTCGTTAGGCAATAAAGCGCGCTTTGTTTCCGATCGATACTGTAAAAATACTAATCCTGCAAATGAAATTAAAAACATCTTTTAGTATTTGTCAAGTGAAATATTTGCATAAAAGAAATTTGTGTGTGAAATTCACCTAAAGGGCGCTCCAACGTCTTCGACGGTGTTCTAACGACTGGGAGCGAAGACCGTTGTTTATTGCCACGCCGAAAGCCAGTGCTTGCCGTTTCTACCTCGGACATTATGCCTGGGTCATCGTCGAACAAAGGTCCTTGATTCAAGGGAGTATAGCCCCGTGGTACATTATTCTTAAATGAAATCAAAAAACATGATTGAAAAAGTTTTCTTACATTTTGAACAAAAAATTACATTAGTGTTTTGTAATTACCTTTTTGTTTTTCTGTGCGCGCGTACTCATCTGTATGTGTTTGAAAAAAATTATGTATTTAGACTGTTTTAGTTATGTGCTTATATTTATTGATTTATCCAAATCACCTCTAGATCCATTGCCCGCTGCTGCTGCTGTCCTTGATTACCGGCATACAATATCATATCGCCACCAAGCGTGTGCCGCCGCGGATCGTCTCGCCGCATACCTCTCCTGTGATCACTAACTGTAGAAATAAACAATTGGTGTATGCTAGCATTCTTAATACTTATTAGATTCGAAATTTTGGTTAAACTCACCTTGCTCATTGGGTGGAATACGCCCAGTTTTGGCATCATTCTGCCAGTCTTCTGCTGGAAGCAAGGGGTAAATATGAATGCAGTGGGTGAAAACAAGTTTGTCCCTTCTTTAAAATATCCCATACTTGTATATAATTTTTATGAAAATTTGATTTTTCTAAAATATCCTTATGGAAATATTCGATAGAACGCTTGGTTCGGTCAAAATTACTTTGTTTCTCACTGAAAATGTATAATTCAAATCACAGTCTCCGCTGCCTACGCGAATATGAATTTATGCTCGAATTATCTAATGATTTTAATGAATTCTCACTGGCGAGTTTGAGCTAATGAGTAAACAAATGTTGAAGTTTTTATGTCGTATTTATTGATTTCAGAGAATACCTTTGCTTAGAACGTGACACGGAAGTGAGCAATCGGCGTTGACGCCTACATTCGAACAACTTGTATTCATACAAATATGTGTTTATGTAGATATATATGTACATATGTACTTACAACTAGTTCATGAACTATTTAAATATTCACATTTGCCCCCATACCCACCTCCTTCACGTCCTTTTCGTTTTTTCTTTGATGAGCTGCCACTGCTGTTGCTACTGCTCTGGTTCGATGAACTTTTATCTTTGCTCTTCCAACGTATCAGCATCGTGTGACAATTGAAATGTGTTGGTTGGGTAGCGACGACTGCAGCGCGGACCGGAAAGTATTAAATGTTGGCATTAGCATTGAACAAGTACGTATAGCAATGTTCAAAGAGTTATCTGTGTATATACGTGTGTTTATGAAGGTGTGTAAGGATCTTAGTGTTCTAGTATGGTATGACCAAGTTGTTGATTAGACTCTGAAGAAATAATTTCGCAAAAGGTCTTCACTACAACATATACATAATGTTGTAGTGAAGACCTTTTGAATTTTATATATCAACCTTTTTGGTAGCTTTTTTCACGCAGCATACATAATTCTGTCTAAAGGGCAGTGCAAATATTGCAAGAGGAAAACAGAGAGTCCGAAGATACTCAGCGCAATATATGTTGAAAGAGGCGCTGCGCATGTCCCACCCATCCCCACAGCAAAATTTCTGTTTGTTTATGTTTGAAAATGTGATTCAACGTAGCTCTGCACCAGTCGTTCTATAAAATGTCAACAGACACGGCACCTATTATGTATTTAGCCGGCATGCAGAGTCAATGCTCGTATTCAGACATGAGCATGCACGATGGTATTTTGCAACAAAGGGAAATTTTTCGTTTTCTTGCATTGGTATTTGAGGCGGTGCGTTGAAATGTAGCATCTAGTGCACAGCCACCAGTGGTACTCAAACTGTAACGCGGGCTGTGAATTTCATTACAACATTGGGTAGGGTAATTATAGCTTTTGATGGGTAGGGTAAGAGATGTTGTTCTTTGCTGACGACAAGCATTTTGCTATTTTGCTGACCCTGGAAAGCGGAGTACGAGGAGCTTGTGGAGGAAATAAGGAAGCTGTATTTGCTCCAGGCTACTGATTCGAATGCCGTTTTTGTTTTCATACATATGTACATACGTATGTATGTATTGCTCTGCTGACGATTTCTAATTGACGTATGTATGTATGTATATATGTATATTGAAATTACTTTCGAACTCATGTTTTTATTCCACACAAATACATACAATGTAAACGTAATAAAATATTACTTAAATTGTGAACTTTTGACCATTTCGAGGAGAAATGGCTAACCGTAACAAAATCATTAAATTCAAGCACTTGAGTGCTTCACTGCACTTTCATTGCTCTGAGGCACTCTTGACATTTTATTTGTATACGGTAATATTATCTTAACACACCTTATTATATTTTCAAGCTATGTTGCAATTTTTCGAGCATTTATAATAATTTTTGTTCAAATAAATTTGAAATATCAAATATTTATGAATATTTTAGGGCAGCGCAGAAATGTGACCGCTTTTAAAAACCGTTCAATACGTTGTAATGCTAAATATTTCTGGTATATCATAAAAGAGTTTCCGCCCTAAATATGCACAGGACTTAGGAAATTTCATTTCCGCGTCTGCGCATTAAAAATAATGACGATCCCGCCTTGCACATTAAACTCACCAAAATGGTGCAGTGGCATTAAAACTGTTAGTGTTCCTAACGTCAATAATACTTCAATTTGTCAATTACTTTTATTACAGCTAAATGTGTATATGTATAAGGAGGATTGTGAAAAAATATGTGCTTAATATTGTCCAAAAGCAATATCTCTTTTAATATATTCTAACATATTCTATTTTTTTTATCACTCTGTAAGCAACCAGTGCAGCCAATCATTTTCAGTGACAGTTCAGTTGTCAACAGCTCTCATATGGCGCTCCAATTTTTAGAGTAAGAAATTAATAAGGAAATTGAATTAAACAGTTTTAAGGTGAGCAAAACATGCATAATCGTTTTAATAAAGTTTTTATAAGCTTAAATATGTAAATATTTCGTTCGGCATATAGCGTGGGTCAATATTGAACCTGTTTCAATTGTTATTTAAATGTGTCGTTTTAGTACGTTTTCGGTGCAGAGCTGTGATGTAATGAGTTAATCAATAGTCGTACCACTTAAAATGTATATTGTACTTGCCATATAAATTGATATTTCGAATTAATTTGTTTTCAGAATGGCCGCTGTTTTTCGTGTGGGCATTGTGCGTCTGTGTGGCCGTAATGCTAGCCCTGCATTGCTGAACACGCAAGCAGCTTCCCCAATGGCTTTGACACAAAAGGCTTCTATCATGGGTAAATCTATGCGTGGTGGTTCACGGGTGCCAAAAGAGTCCCCATATCCCTACAAAGAGAAACGATACACTGTGCTGAATTCGTTTTTCGATAAAACATCAAAACGTATGGATGAGAACTCTAAAGTCATATGTGTTGAAGGGCCGATCGGTGCAGGCAAAAGCAAGTTTGCCAAAGAATTGGCAGATGAATTGGAAATGTGTTATTTTCCAGAAGTCAACATGGACTTGATTTACATCAATTCCTACGGCTACGATATGCGCAAGCTAGACCCTCAATTACCTGAACTCTGTCGTTCTTATGATGTGACTAACTTTTGCCGTGAACCCAATCATCCTTTGGCTGCCCAGTTCCAAATCCGCATGTACATGTTGAGATATTCACAATATATAGATGCCTTACAACATGTGCTTTCCACCGGCCAAGGTGTTGTTTTGGATCGAAGCTGCTATTCCGACTTTGTATTCTTAGAAGCAATGTATAAGAACGGTTATATTTCGCGTGGTGCTCACTCGGTATATTATGAAATTCGCCAAAATACCATTGATGAACTTTTGAAACCGCATTTGATTATCTACTTGGACTGCCCTGTAGAAGCTGTTAAGGTAAATAATGTTTAATAATCGGTAAACAGCTTTTAATTTATCTAAATTGATATCTTTTAGCAACGCATTAAAGCTCGTAATATTGACTACGAAATTAAATCGAAGGTTTTCACTGATACCTACCTAAAGGATATTGAAACGTTTTATAAACAACATTTCCTTAAGGATATAAGTAGCCATGCTGAAATCCTGGTTTACGATTGGACTGCTGGTGGTGAGACCGAAGTTGTGGTTGAAGATATCGAACGAATTGATTTCGGACAGTTCGAAGTTGATCACCACAATAAAAAAATGAAGGATTGGCGTTTCCCACTCGAAGCTGAGTGGTGTGAAGCCCGTATCAAGTACTGTAATGAAAAAAGCACTTTGATGAACTATTTTAATGTGCCACGTTACGACGTACCGGAATTGGTGCGCGATGCGGACAGCAGCAAAGTTTGGCGCGATGTGTGGTTCAACGTAAGATTTCTCTTATTTGATGTGTCTTCAATCATTGGCTATTTTATTGTTTGTATTACAGGCACCTGGCATGAAGTATCGCCCTGGTTACAATGAAGATATGGGAGACACTGGTTTATTAACCAAAACAACAATTGGCCTCAATCGACCATTATAAGCAGTGTTCAATTATTTGTTTAGTAAAATTTGAATAAAAAGAAAATAACGGAATGAAAAGCTGTATTAAGAATTGAAATGATATGAAGTTAAGTGAAATAAAAAGGTAAATAAATGCAAATAATATAATAATAACTAAAAGTTATTTACATACACATATATAAGTATAATAGTAAAGATTAATTTTTATTTTTAATAATTTTTAGGATTAAGAACAAGAATAAGTTATTCAACCATTTTTCAAACAATGAAATTGGCTTCTATTTAGTTGTACATATATTTCGCAAAACAGAAACAAAAACAAAAATACTTAAAACCATCTGTATATACATACCTATCATCTATATATATCAACAATCAACTATCATACATTAAACATTTAGCACTATCAAAAATATACATAACTACTTAAGCACAAATACAACGAAGGGAACGAAAAACGGTAAGTTTCTACTTACTTTTTACTTTCATATTTCCAAACTGCTTACGTCCAAGAGCAATAAATAATTTCAAGCCCAACCATTTTACCATTTGATGAAAGTTGTTAAAAATAAAGACTTCCGTAATCGTATTTTTTAGGGGGTTTATTATGAACATTGTAATATTCCATTTTATACATATAAGTAAAACAAGTAAATATAAATAAAACGCAGATATATATGTCCGTTCATACGTTAATTATAATACAGATTATAATTTACAGAGTATTTACGAACGTATGGGACACGTGATATGCCAGTTAACTAAACGAAAACCATAAAAACTGACATCTCTTCGGTAGAAAGATTGATGAAAAACATTTGGTTAGCGTTTTTGCTCAGTCACAAAGGACTTTGCTAATATACAGTAGTCGATTATTGATATCATTCAAATGAATATTAAATTTCGAATTTGTATATTTATATGTGTGTTATCCTATCATTATTTGTGCATTTTTATAATATAGTAGCTTTAATTATTCCATATTGTATTTGGGAAGACATTGGGCTTCCAGCATTTGACACAATTATTTCTAAATTGTGTTTGTGGTTGTGAAGGCGAGCGCCTGGCTTTCCCTATATCTTAAACTATACTAATAAAATTAGTTGACTTCGGCTTAAATCGTTTCCTATAGTTCTTATAAAATACATTATTTATAAAAACACATTTACAATAATATTTTACATGATTTCAGTCCAGCTCTTTGTGACTATTGTGTCCAACATGTGTTGTTATTAATATAAAATATCTCCTTCGTGATTCCTCAAATACGATTTAGATTATCACGCTTGAAGTTGCGTATTGCCATTAGTAGCTGATCTCTGGGATCTGTAGTGCTGGGCGTAGTTGCAGGGCTACTATTTGGTGTGGGTAGCGTTACACCTTTAGGAGGCATTGGTGGTGGTGGTGGTACTAAGGACGTAGATTTTACATCCAACTGAGTTTTTGTTGTCGTTGTGATGTTAGTTGCTGGATTGAAGCTCGTTCTGTTTAAATAGACGCTGGACGAATTCTGAAGTTTTAGTTCTAATTTGGCACTTTGCAACGGTTTTTGGTGGACTTTTTTTGTTTCCGACGATGTTGTTACATTTGTCATACCTACGAAACCATTGGAAGTAGTAGTAGAAGATTTGAGGCTTGACCTTTGAGACTTGGGAATTTGCTCCCGAATATTGCTTTCGGTTTCCGCCCTTTCTTTTGGTAAGGTATCGTTTGCGAGTATTTTCTCTTTCAACCCAGTCTTTCGCAGAGTGTTCTGACCAAATGGAGCCGCTACAACTTCAGACTGAGTGAGTTTGAGCTTATTAGCTTCCAATTGGGTGATGGAGGTTGAACGGAGCAACACTGAACCCACATTATTAACTGCCGGCATACTAAATCGACTGGTGTTGCTGCGGGGCAAAGTCGATGTAAATGCTGGTTTGGTGACTGTTTCACTTTTATTACTTTCCAATTCCACATTTCCATTTAGCAGAACAGTTGTAATACTTGTTGATTTCCATTGACCCTTAGTTGACGGTTCCTGCTGAGTTGTGTTATTGGTTGTTGTTGTATTTAAATCGACATTTCCAATTGTTACATCGCGTAATGGTTTAACACTTATTGGTGTATGATACTCTTTCTCGGGGATGCCCATACGTTCTGTGAGTGTTATGGGTTTAGGAGCAACAGGCGGCGGTGCGTTCTCTCTTTCCGCCCAAAAGGCTGCCGCTGGCATTGAAACTCTATTATTTCGAATGTGAGATCGCGTGTTAATCTCGATCGCAGCTGTTGTAACGGCCGCGCTTTGACTGTCGGCATTCTTACCTCCGAAAATGTAGTCACCTTCATTTTTTATGGATACTTGTACTTTAGGACGTTCACTCCAAGTAGAAAAATTAATGCTTGGGGGTCCGGAGTATCGATATACTTTAGGCTCCTCTTTGTGTTTGGTGTTATCTGCCGACGAAACCCTGGTTTCTTCTTCCTTTTCTGCATTAACTTTATTTTTTGGTGTCTTCGCTGTTTTGACCAAATTCGTTGTATGTACTTCTTTTGAGTCGGTGCTCTCGAATTCGGAGGTGACACTAAACTGTGGCATTGTTATATTAGTGTCTACTTGTTTTCGTGCATTAATTATATTCTTTGGTGGCTCCGCTAATGAGGGAAGGTTTACTTTCTGTTCTACATCCTTTTCATCTTGCCTTTTAAGTTCCTCCGCTACTTTGGTTTCTGCATCACTACTACTAGCCGAGCTATTTTTCCGTGAATTTAGAATCGTTTTGATGATTTCAGGACTTTGAAGGGACGGCGATTCACCAATACTAAGTTCACCTGATGATCGTCTACGGCTGGAGCTAAATCCGTTTTGATCAACCTTTTCATGCGTAACTAGTGCTGATGGGCTAACTAAGTTGGTCACGATTTTTTGTCCAGCTGTGCGTGTGAGCTTCTCTGAAGGGATTTGATTTTGATTGGTTACTACCTCAAAGTTGGAATTCGGCTCAATATTTTCTGGGTTTAGTTTAGAAGTTTCATTTGGATCTTCATTTTCCTTTTCTTGAATCTGTTGTGTGATTGTTGTGATACTGAAGTTGGATAATGTAGCTGGTTTAGCAGCTTGTATCTTTGGTTCATCTTCTGGCTTTTTAATTAGGGTGTCCAAACGCTTGTTATGAATTATTTCAGAAAGTTCTTCCACAATTTCATTTAAAGGGGTTGTGGGGCTCGGCAAAGCTAAGCTCTCTTTTTTGAAGTCCATCTCATGTGTGTTCGTCGGTTTTTGATTTGAATTACCAACAGCTTCGGTAAAAGATCTCTCTGATTGGGAAATTGATTTAAAATCCAACATTGGT